TGTAAATTTGTGGTTTACCCAAGTTTTCGAAGTTCTTCTCGAATACTTGTAAGATTCCCATGTAATGATCCAAACTTACGAATTTAGGCAACCGCAACCACCCATATATGACAGACCAAAATCTGCTGTTCTTGCAACTACTTTAACACCAGAACAAGTTGTAATATATGAAGAATTTCCGGAAATATTGACAAAGAGGTAATTATACACTTTACTATCGATTTGATTTAAGTTAAAATGTTATTAACTATAACGAAATTTATTAGCAAAGAGGATTTAGAAGATCTTCTTAGCAATGACATATTTTTTGAATCTTTCTTTGAGAGCATTGAGCAAATCCATAACACAATAGCTGTCCAGAATGAAATGCGGATGGGAAATGAAACGTTAGCAAGTAAGAGTTTGAAATATTTATTCTACACCTATTAATTTTGAATTTTAACTGTGTATCATATCATAAGTTTATTCATGTGTATTTGCTTTTTGGCCAAAATTAAAGAAGAAACTCTGTTGCAAGAAAATGAGTTAAATCAACTACGGCAGAGTGTTCAAGAACAAGAAAATTCACTCCTCAATCTAAATTCAACCCTTCAAGAAAAACTCAAACTTCAACAAAATGCTTTACAGGTTTTTCTTTATTTACTGCAGTGTCTTGCTTTAATTGATTCATATGAATCATCTAAATTCATACTATATTTATTTACTAAATAGCGCTTTTCACCTTCTGTTTTGTTGACAAAACTTAAAGTCGGTGTTCAGCAGTCTGATGAACTGTCAGAGCAAATGGCAACCTCATTTTTGAGTGGTGAATTGGAAACAGATCAATTTATAAAACATTTTAGAGAAATAAGAAAAGTTTTTCATTTGAGAAATGCAAAGGTGGAAATTGTTAAAAATAAACCCGGAATCTTGGATGAGAGTTATTAGGTTATAAGCAGGGTTGTCACGTTTATATGTTTTTTCTATTGGCTTATAATTCTATTCATTTTTTTTTATTTTTCTATTGTAAATTTTGAGTATTAAATTTTACTAATTAAATATAAAAATATTTTAAATTTATTACTTTACTAATGCTCTAACAATATATGTTTAAATAATTGCAAATTATTAATAAAAAAAATTTTTATATAAAGACAAAAAATTGAGCTTTTGTTCTATTGTTCTATTTGCAAACACTGGTTATAAGCGTATATTCTTACGGGACAAAATTATTTGCTTTTCTGATGGCCAAACTGGAGTGGATGGCAGTGGTGTGTACTGTCCCGTCCCGTCTCGTCCATCTCGTCCTGTGATATCCCATCTTGTCCATCAATTACACAATTTTTACTTGAAAAGCCATTTCAAAAAGAAAAATAATACTAATAATAATGAACTATATGTAAATTAAAATTTAACCATTTTTTTATTTAAGAGTGAAAAGAAATTTATCTTAATAAAAATTTTGAGTTATTTACATTTTTTTCTTAAAACCCTCAATTTTATCCCACTGGCCGAAGGTATTGAGAAAGCAGCTTTAGAACTGCCGGGATGCTAGTTAAAATTAAATCACCCGAGTGAAAAAAAATAAAATGCCGAGAAACTTCGACAATTATTATGGTGAAGAATACTTATGTTGGGAAATATTTTGAAGAAAACCGATTTAAGTTTAAAAGGGTGGATATAATTCATAGATTTAAAAGTATGACTGTATAGAACCTAGATATCTTAATGGCACATAAAGGCCCCAAAATGAAAATAATTACGGATAAGGGCCCAAAATAAAAATTCTTAAGGGTAGGGTGTCCGTAGATCATTTTTCATATGATCTACGTGGTATATTAAAATTTTACATAGACAGCAAAAA